CTGCACTAGCAGTGGGTTATTTGATTGACAGGTCACTGCATGTCCCCTTGAACGAAAGCAGCGCCATCTTGGAAATGTGAACGAGGAAGCCATGAAGAACAAAAGCATTGGTTGAGGGATCATGCTGAAGCAGGTTTTGAATCGACCCCATATTCTGGAGCTCGCAGAATATGCAACATGGTGCAACTTGTGCTTGTGGTTTGCCGTCCATGCCTCTACCTGAAGTAGCCATTGTCTACGTCATCATGTGACGTCGACGCATGTTTCTTGCATTGACGAATTTTTGGAGTCGATTACGTCGACTATGTTGACGAATCGCCCCAGCCCTGTCTTAAAGTAAACCAAAGTTGACAGATTTCAGTTTTTAGAGATGAACTAAATGCACGAGTCCAAGTCCTGTCACGAGTCTTTAAAATCCCAGAGAAGTTCCCTCTAGTCTCACGTTGAAGCTCTGCTCTCTGAGTCTGCGGCACTCTAAAAAAGTCAGATTTCGCTGAGAAGATTCACGTCTCTGTGATTTGCATGATCTGGCGTTTGCTTTTGGACCGTCTAATGTCCCAGATGTCTCAGAGGTATTTGATGTCGTCAAAGCCCGACTGGGAAAGATTTCACGATAATTGTTAAATATTCACCAAATCAGTCTTCCAGAGTTTCGCTCCGTCTCTAATCAGAAAAGCGTGGTGGGCATCTCGAGGAACTGATGCATAGCTAATGACTCGGTGATTAATAGGCTGGCACTCGACTGGCTGAAATGTGGCAGATCCCGAAGATGAGAAGGAGGAGCCGGCTGGAGACAAAGACCCCCACCGCCGCCGCCGCCACCAGGATGTTGTGTGACGTGTTCAGGGCCGTGAAACATGGAGGGGCTCGTCTTCTCTAAAAAGCGCTCTAATTAGAGAAGGAGAGCTCGGAGCTGGCTGTGTTCACATGTGATGGGTGTTAATTAGGTTTGTCCGGGCATATGGAGGTTGGCCCTCTGGATTAGCATGCGGTGAATGACGACAAAGAGGAGGGGGGGGTGGTTTGTTTAACTTCCTGTTTCTGTCTAAAAGTAGGATTTGGTGAAAGGTGGTTTTAGTTTGGTAAAGGTGGGGTCGATGGGGTCTCTGCTCGCACGCTTTCCCCCCTAAACTCAACAAGTGACGACACTAATGACCGACTCCCCTTCGGCGCTAATCACCTCCTCATTCAAACGAGGGTCAACGTTTCCTCATCTGCATGCAGGCGACACAAAAGAAGCGATTAAACACCGAGAGATTTCCTCCGCCAGGTCACCGGAGCTGATAAATGAAATCTAGGCCTGAATCTGAGGATCCCCCTGATGTGAGCAACAGCACTACACAATGCTATTATCCCATGCTGTGAGCCTGCCAAAGACAGATGGTCCCAGAGGACCGGTGGAGCGTCACCAGCGGCCCCCCTCCTCTTCCTGAAGAGAGGATTGGTGGATCCGGCGCTGTGCGGGGCTAATATTAGCCGCAGATAAGGACACCTGCAGAGGACGGAGGTTTGGCTTCAACCAGAATATAAGGAAACCTTCAGATCAGCTAAATATAGCCCGGAGAAATGAGAGGAGGAAGGCCTGCATGCTGGGACGCCCTCTGTCAACCTGCCTTGAAAAATGAGTCTGTGGGAATAAATGGAGTCTCACACGCTGGAGCTGAGATCCTTCACAGTCTGTGTTTTACATCGGACTTTGTTTTCATGATCACAGTGCAGAACAATCATTGAGAATTTTGACCCTTTTTCTGCCGCCTTATAAAGAAGCACTAGTAGCAGGGCTCGACAGAGCGACCGTTTAATTCACATTTGTAACTTAAATATATGTGTGTGAATTGTAAAATGTATTTAGGACATGTGCGCACAAAAAAATCAACATCGTCTTTATCTTTTTTTGTTAAATTCAGGTCTGAGTCTGTTACGACATTTGTTTTCAGTTTTCATTATTTCAATGTTTTGTATAATCTGAGATGTTAAATATAAAAGGGAATCAGCATGGGTTAGAAACAGACTCTATGGTGGGGTGACCATTTTCTGACTTTCCAAAAAGAGGACACGAAGACGACGTGGGGGCGGAGTCACGGAGTCACACAAAGTTAATTTTGAGTTTTTCGGGTCAGATCAAGTGTCTTTTACACGCTTCTAACTCAGTAAGTCCACGTGACACAAACTCGAAACTTCAGTATAAAACCGCAGATATTTGAATGATATTATAAAGTTCCCCGTACAAAGCCGGACAGCCCCCCCAAAAGGAGGACATGTCCAGGTAAAAGAGGACGTATGGCCACCCTACGTGCTTTAGCCAGATCATCTTAACAACAAGGCTAAACCTGTTAGCTAAGTTAGTCTCCGCTAAAAGTAGCTAACCGGCAGCCAAAAATCATGTTTGTTGGCTTTATTAATGACTAAATTTTTGACTAATTTAATCGCCCTCCAGTATTTCTTTGTTAGCTAGTAGCTGACTCAGTTAAGTCTAGTTTAATTTAACTCGCTAAGAGCCTAAAACTGTAACGCCGGATCAAGAAATGAAAACAAAACTGGGATTTTTTATAAAGTTGATAAATAAAGTTGTTTTTATGAAATTTAAATCACTACATAATGAGAGAAAATCTGAGATTTTACAAGCGTGAAGTTACAGGATTCAACTGTTCAACAGTTTCACTCACATCTGCGACTAAAAATAGATGTGTGCGAATTGTAAAATGTATTAGGGGTACAGGGCACAAACCCTGATTAGCATCTTTAAAGTCGAGATTGGCTAATCTGTTCAAGTTCATGTGTCGCCCATCCATGGATGAAGCTGCCTGGTGGTTACTTAAATGGATTATTGAAATGCTGACTCGGCATAATTTACTGCTGACTTGGCAAAAAAACAGGTACACAGGCTTTAGCTTCATACGCCTGCCAGTCAATCTGTCCAATACCCCTAATTATGACAAATTAAAAAACCTTAATATCTTCACTGTGTAGGAGGAGAGGAGGCAGATCGTTCTGGACCAGAATCATCGTTCTGGACCAGAACATGTTGGACGTTTATGAATGGGTGTGTATGTGGCTCTCAGGCTTTAACAGCCAGCCTCCAGTGGACAGTCGAGGAACTGCAGCTTTAAATTGACAAATTAAAAACCAAACCTCAGGTTATTTTTTCCCTTTTTATCCACCGTCCCTTCACTGATACTAACGATAACTGTCCTGATATCAGCTCCTTTGTTTTCCAGTGTTTCTCTCTAAATCTAACTCTGACAGTTTCCTCTAACTCTGATTTTTCTCCTCCTAACTAAAGAGGTGGCCCTGGCGCCTGAATCAAACCAAAAAGGCTCCGTTTCTCCGCATTAATCAGGTCTTCTGACGGCTGTCTCCCTCTCCTCTGTGGACTCTAAATTGGCTCTGTTTCCATGGCGCTCGCACATTCATTATAGGCTCTGTTTGGATCGTGTATTTCTCTCAGATAATGTTGAATTTACCCGAATAAAACAGGGACATATTCACATAAGGAGCAGTTATTTTGGAGTCGTTTTGGTGTGTGATGGTTTGTGGTTTGACAGAAAGTCCTTCACTCTGAGAAATAAGGTGGACACGTCTGCGGCGAGTGTCCATCCTGGAGCTGTTTGTGTTTCAGCAGACGAGTTATCCATCAAACAGGTTCACCAGACTGGAGCGCAGTTTGCTCGTCACCTGCAGCACAGCCGGTCTGTAATCAGAGAAGTGCTCCTCTCTCTCTCTTTCTCTCTCTCTCTTCTGCATATTCATTTATAAAACGATCGGAGGAGATTTTCCTAATGTAATTTAGTTAAAGGGAAAACTGCTCTTCAGAAACAGGTGCAGAGATGAACTTTTTCTTTTTCATTTTGGAGGAAATGTCAAAGTACAGAGGGATTAAGCAAAAGTGTTTTTGTATTTTTTAGGATCTAAATGTCAGCAGAGGTGGGGTGCATCGCACGTGCGGAGGAGCTGCACTTCCTGTAGTGAAATAAAATCAAGAGTTTGTCTTCTGCTAAACTCTAGAGTTTAATATTTTTATTTCTGTACATATATTTTTATACTTAAACTGTTCTTACTTGATGTTTTCTATCTCGTCTCGTCTTGTCATGGTTCAGTTTTAACCTCTTGAATATGTAAGATTTAAGAAAAACATCAGATTCTGTTTTTAATCAACATTTTACACATCAGCCAAACTTTTTGGACTCCTTTTAAATTATTAAAGTGCATCAAATAATCTGGACAAACTGCTTCTTTAACGGCAGGAATCCGTTTTTGTGGTGTATTTACAAAAAATCTTTTAATATCAGTCAATAGTTATTAGTTATTGATGACATTTGGTAATATATCGATATCTCTGTGTTCTCTTATGTCTGTGTCGTCAACATTTGAACATTTTTGAGCGGTCCGCTCTTTCTGACTGTAAACAAAGCCGTTCTCCACCTCCTCTAACCTGATTGGTTGTGAGGCAGACGCTGCTCCCCCGTGTCGTTCAGGAGCCCAAACAAAGTTAGCGTGCTACAATATCGGACAGTAGAAACCAACCAGAAAGTTCGGAAAATTGTCTGAATCCTCCTTTGGCCACGACTGCCGACACAAGCAAGAAAACACTCAAACATAAACAGTCGGCAAGAAAACAGTCAGCAAGAAAACAGTCAGCAAGAAAACAGTCAACAAGAAAACAGTCAGCAAGAAAACAGTCAGCAAGAAAACAGTCAACATCAAAACAGTCCTCCAAGAAAACAGTCAGCAAGAAAACAGTCAACATCAAAACAGTCAACCATAAACAGTCAACACCAAAACAGTCAACAATAAAACAGTCAGCAAGAAAACAGTCAGCAAGAAAACAGTCCTCCATAAACAGTCAGCAAGAAAACAGTCAACCATAAACAGTCAACAAGAAAACAGTCAGCAAGAAAACAGTCAGCAAGAAAACAGTCAACATCAAAACAGTCAACCATAAACAGTCAACACCAAAACAGTCAACAATAAAACAGTCAACAAGAAAACAGTCAGCAAGAAAACAGTCAGCAAGAAAACAGTCAGCAAGAAAACAGTCAACATCAAAACAGTCAACCATAAACAGTCAGCAAGAAAACAGTCAGCAAGAAAACAGTCAGCAAGAAAACAGTCAACATCAAAACAGTCAACCATAAACAGTCAGCAAGAAAACAGTCAAAAAGAAAACAGTCAGCAAGAAAACAGTCAACAAGAAAACAGTCAACCATAAACAGTCAGCAAGAAAACAGTCAACAAGAAAACAGTCAACAAGAAAACGCTGCTCCCCCGTGTCGTTCAGGAGCCCAAACAAAGTTGGCGTGCTACAATATCGGACAGTAGAAACCAACCAGAAAGTTCGGAAAATTGTCTGAATCCTCCTTTGGCCACGACTGCCGACACAAGCAAGAAAACAAAGTAAATACCGGAGACTCTGGAGGAATAACGGGCGCTTAAAACGGAGGTAGACCGGACAAGAGCTAAAAAGCCGGGTCAACATTAACGATGGGGGACGCTTGGGGATCTTGGTGACCCTGTAACCTTTCTGCTGGACAGGTAAACCGCTTTAACAAAGTAAGACAAGTGTCTGTAACAGAAGTGTTTCTTGTCAAACGGACCTGCTGTAGCGTGTTGTAGCGCCATCGCTAAACTGTCCTCCCTCGGGTCCTGGACTATGTCACTTTATCCTCGTTGTAGAAGTCCTGCAAACATTGTGTTTGCTGGTAGTCTGTTGGCATCTACAGTAGCACCAATGCTTTTGACTTTCACCTTGACTGGGCCCCATTTGTAATGATCTGAAGTATTTATCTGCATTATATCTGAATTTAACTGGAACGATACGAGCGAGCAGGAGCGTCTGTTTGTGGGCGGGGCTTGAGGGGAGAGAGAGAGAGAGAGAGAGAGAGAGAGAGAGAGAGAGAGAGAGAGAGTGTTTCTCTGTGTTGTCTCTTTAACTCTGTGGCTCTAAAACAGTTGAAGTGTGTTTCTGCTCGATGAGGTTTCTATGAGGTGAATAAATGTTGGTTCAGTTGATCTTCAGGACGGCTGCAGCTTTAAGAACTTCGGCTTGTTGGAGTTTGAGAGTCTAAAGTTCACAGAGACACTCCTCCTCCTGGATTGTAGACAAACTGGATCCCCCCTCCCTCGTCTCTCTCACAGCTCACTCCACTCTGCACTCTCACTTCCTTGTTCCCTTTCCTACCTTCCTCCCTCCCCCTCAGATCTACAGTCTAAAGGTTGGGTGTAACCTCCGTGTGCTGACTTGATCCTGCTGACTCACACATGTTGTTGAGATCAGAGCTCAGACTAATTTGACTTCTCAGGAAATAAAACTCAGTCAGTCGTCGTCGACAGCGAGTGTTGAAATGGCGCAGAAAGGAGTTCATCTGGACTGTGAGTCTTTCTCTTGTTCCATCTGTTTGGATCTTCTGAAGGATCTGGTGGCTGTTTCCTGTGGACACAGCTTCTGCATGAGCTGTATTCAATCCTACTGGGATACTGAGGATGAGAGGATGATCTACAGCTGTCCTCAGTGCAGACAGACCTTCATACCGAGGCCTGTCCTGAAGAAAAACACCATGTTAGCAGGTTTAGTGGAGGAAGTGAAGAAGAGCGGACTCCAAGCTGCTCCTGATGGTTCCTCTGAGGCTGGACCTGAAGATGTGGTCTGTGACGTCTGCAGTGGGAGAAAAATGAAAGCTGTCATGTCCTGTCTTCAATGTCTGGTTTCTTACTGTCAGATTCACCTCCAGCCTCATTTTGAATCTCCTACATTTAAGAAACACAAGCTGGTGGAGCCCTCCAAGAAGCTCCAGGAGAACATCTGCTCTCGTCATGCTGAGGTGATGAAGATCTTCTGCCGCACTGATCAGAAGTCCATCTGTCATCTCTGCTGTTTGGACCAACACAAAGGTCACGACACAGTCTCAGCTGCAGCAGAAAGGACTGAGAGGCAGAAAGATCTGGAGGAGAGTCGAGGAAACATCCAGCAGAGAATCAAGAACAGAGAAGAAGATGTGAAGCTGCTCCAACAGGAGGTGGAGGCTATCAACGGCTCTGCTGATAAAGCTGTGGAGCACAGCCAGAAGATCTTCAGCCAGCTGATCCGTCTGATGGAGAAACGCCGCTCTGAGGTGGAGCAGCTGGTCAGATCCCAGCAGGAACGTGAAGTGAGTCGAGTCAAAGACCTTCAGGAGAAACTGGAGCAGGAGATCACTGAGCTGAAGAGGAAAGACGCTGATCTGCAGAAGCTCTCACTCACAGAGGACCACAACCAGTTTCTGCACAGCTACCCCTCACTGTCAGAACCGGGTCAACCTGCAGACTCATCCAGAATCAACATCCGTCCTCCGAGATACTTTGAGGAGGTGACAGCAGCTGTGTCAGAGGTCAGAGAGAAACTCCAGGATCTTCTGACAGAGACGTGGACAAACGTCTCACAGGCAGTGACTGAAGTGGATGTTTTACTGTTAGAACCACCAGGACCAGCAGAACCCAAGACCAGAGCTGGTTTTTTAAGATATTCACAAAGAATCACACTGGATCCAAACACAGCGAACAGGTATCTGTTATTATCTGATGGAAACAGAAGAGCAACATATACAGGACAACTACAGTCTTATCCTGATCATCCAGACAGATTCACTGATTATAATTATCAGGTCCTGAGTAGAGAGAGTCTGACGGGACGTTGTTACTGGGAGGTGGACTGGAGAGGGAACGGGGTTGATGTAGCAGTCGCATACAAGAGTATCAGGAGAGACGGAGACTCATATGATTGTTTCTTTGGAAACAATGACAAATCTTGGAGTTTACGCTGTTATAAAGACAGTTCTAATTTTTTTCACAACAAAGTCTGCACTCCTGTCTCAGGTCCTCAGTCCTCCAGAGTAGGAGTGTACCTGGATCACAGAGCAGGTATTCTGTCCTTCTACAGCGTCTCTAAAACCATGACTCTCCTCCACAGAGTCCAGACCACATTCACTGAACCTCTACATGCTGGACTGTGGTTAGGCCTTGGAGCCTCTGCTGAGTTTATAGAAGTGAACTAAAGAGAATTTTGAGTCCATCAGACCAAAATCATGGACTGAGATCCTTGAACTCTTGAAATGTTCTGGTTTGTAAATGTTTGTGGATCAGTCTCACCAAAAACTCTGGGTTTAGTTCTTCATTTCAGCTTTTTGATTCTTTTCTAAAGATGCTGATTTGGTCGCAGCTTTAAGGACAGTGATTGTGGAGAACTTTGATTGTTTGTATTTCTCATGTTGAAAAATCTTCATCAAGTTTGATATCAACAACATCAAGATGATGGTTTGTTCAAATCACCTTCAGTTGGTGCAGATGTTGAAGGTCTGAGACTTTAGAAAAAAGTGAGGTCAAAATCACAGAAAAAGGACGACCTTATTTCCTGTCCCAAATCCAAGCGTCTAAAGTCTTTCCAGTCGTCCCCAAAAACTCTTCAGATGATCTGTTTCTTTCTCTGTTTGCTGAATATTTGTGTTCATGTGATCGATGGATATTTCTGTCTGCTTCTGTTGGATCAGTGTGTTTGTAAAGACATCTAGAATCAGACTTTGGACAGATCTACATGTTGTTATGAGCTTTTCAATCACTCTAATAATAATAATCACATTTATTAGTCCGACTGTTTGGATGTTTCTGACTCAGCTCAGATTGTGGTCAAGTCTCTGATTGTGGGTAAAAAAATCATAAAAATCCTCAAACTGAGTCACTGAAATCACCTCGTCTGTTTGTCTGTCAACCATAAACAGTCAACACCAAAACAGTCAACAAGAAAACAGTCAGCAAGAAAACAGTCAACCATAAACAGTCAGCAAGAAAACAGTCAACAAGAAAACAGTCAACAAGAAAACAGTCAACATCAAAACAGTCAACCATAAACAGTCAACACCAAAACAGTCAACAAGAAAACAGTCAGCAAGAAAACAGTCAACAATAAACAGTCAGCAACAAAACAGTCAGCAAGAAAACAGTCAACAAGAAAACAGTCAACCATAAACAGTCAGCAAGAAAACAGTCAACCATAAACAGTCAGCAAGAAAACAGTCAACAAGAAAATGCTGCTCCCCCGTGTCGTTCAGGAGCCCAAACAAAGTTAGCGTGCTACAATATCGGACAGTAGAAACCAACCAGAAAGTTCGGAAAATTGTCTGAATCCTCCTTTGGCCACGACTGCCGACACAAGCAAGAAAACAAAGTAAATACCGGAGACTCTGGAGGAATAACGGGCGCTTAAAACGGAGGTAGACCGGACAAGAGCTTAAAAGCCGGGTCAACATAAACGATGGGAGACGCTTGGGGATCTTGGTGACCCTGTAACCTTTCTGCTGGACAGGTAAACCGCTTTAACAAAGTAAGACAAGTGTCTGTAACAGAAGTGTTTCTTGTCAAACGGACCTGCTGTAGCGTGTTGTAGCGCCATCGCTAAACTGTCCTCCCTCGGGTCCTGGACTATGTCACTTTATCCTCGTTGTAGAAGTCCTGCAAACATTGTGTTTGCTGGTCGTCTGTTGGCATCTACAGTAGCACCAATGCTTTTGACTTTCACCTTGACTGGGCCCCATTTGTAATGATCTGAAGTATTTATCTGCATTATATCTGAATTTAACCGGAACGATACGAGCGAGCAGGAGCGTCTGTTTGTGGGCGGGGCTTGAGGGGAGAGGAGGAGCTGAGGGGAGAACTGGTTGGGAGGGGCAGAGTTTACATTCAAGATTTCTCCTAAAACTGAAACTAACTCAGATCCTGACTACAACACCTTTAAAATAAAATGAAAACTGATGTAACCCTCTCCATTTAAGACCAATCAGTGCTTTGGATTAACTAGAATATTAGCGTGACAGTTCTTCTAAATTTGTATCTTAACCCGTAAAAAAAAAACCTTAAAGGGGACCTGCCATAAAAATTTAATTTTTGTGTTTTTTGTGTCAGATAAGGTCCATATTATGTTCGTCTTATGTTGTAAATGTGAAAACAAACCGTTACGTCGTTTTCATCCTGTAAAGGTTTAAAATAAAGGAACGAGTAAACCAGACCAATTGAAAAAGCAGGTCCATTATTATAATTCACGAGCGCGTCCTCGGTGAGCCACGCCCACTCTCTCGTTCTCGTACTCAGTCACAGCCAGAGCGAGACCCAGCTACCGCTGTATCCGCTATGGGTCTCTTCCAAACGACCGGTGTTTCCTTCGGTTCACTGCCGGGAAAATGAACTTAAAGCCGGGCAGAATGAATGAGAAAACACCGCTGGAGATCTCCGGCTTCTTCCTCAACTTCCACCTCCTCTTCGGACTCGGGGTCTAAAATATATGGTTTAATACCTGCCGTTTTTAGCCTTTAGCATAAGGTGACCAGACGTCCCCGATTTCCGGGGACAGTCCCCGTATTGGATGACCTGTCCCCAGCAAAAGCTGTCCCCGAAAATGTCCCCGATTTAAGCGTTTCATTAATGAGAGCAAAAATGTTGCGTGTGGGCTCGAACAACGGTTATTACAGTAGCCGAATAGGTAGGAAGCACAAGTTAGCAGTCCTGAACAACAGTTCTTACGGGGTTATTACAAGGGGCATGCGCTGCTACTAAATAGTACCGAGACTTTGTCTGTGATCACACAGCCCCTGCAGCCCCTGCACCGCCGCCGCCGCACCGAATATCCCCGGATATCATTACAGACATCTGGGCACCTTACTTTAGCACACATTAGCATATGCTATTAGCATTAGCATAATAACAATGGATAAACCGAAATCCGAACCTCCACTGCTGAGCCAATCAGAGCACAGCAGGCTTCACAGCAGCGATCCAATCAGAGCAAAGCTCATTACCATAAATGTTAATGAGCCAAAACCAGTTGGTTTTCCTGTAAGGTTTTTTAGGCATACTAAAACAAACCATCAAATAACTTTTCAGCTAAAATTATGTTGCAAACATGATCAGAGGACATCAAGGATTATGAAAAAATGATAAAAACGGGGATGAAATTTTGGTGGCAGGTCCCCTTTAAACACCCGTCATCCTATCCTGACTGATTCGTCGTGGCGCTCTCTGGTTATTCTGCTCGTATCTTGGGACCTCCCATCCTCCTGAAAGACGACACTAAAATAGAAGTCGCTGTTTCTGTGACCCGAGGAGGAGAAAGCGGTCCGTCTGAAGCCTCCAGCTGCTGTTAGCGTTACTTTTTGAGCGTCTGGGGTGGTATAAAATATTAATTTGCTGCACATCCGTTTGATTCTGAAACATTTATTCCCCTTTAAGAGTCGGTCGGTTTAAAGCAGCTCTGTGCGGCGGACTAAGACCTCGCTCCCTGAGGGGGTCAGCAGCTAAAGACCACCGTTTTCCCCACGAGGCGAATAATGTGTCACACTTGTGCTATTTTCACTTGTTTTTCCCAGAATTCACACTAACTCCGCTCTGAAAGGACCGACTCTTGTGAAAGTAACAATCGACAGTCTTTATGGCTTTTCATTAAACTCTGCCAAGCTGTTCGTATTAAATCTGTTTGCCTGATAATTACTCGGCACAGGGTTCCTCACCAGCACAGGCGCCTACATGCCTCCTATTCATAGTCCCGTGTAGCCGAGTGGGAAAAAAAACACGAAAAAAACATGTCCACGCTTTAAACTCTTCCTCCAAACAGCATATCATGATCAGTGAGCTGCATATTCCTTCATTAATACTTGATTATTTGGGTGGGATATCACTTTTAAAAACCGATCTAGAAGCGGGAGTTTTTGACCCGTTAAACGCCTCTAATCACATGAATTAAAGATGCGAAAACGCCGCCGCCTTTCTCTCCAAACGAGTTTATCCCCTGGAGTAAAGTGTCAGAATAAACACAGAGGAGATCTCCACCTGTCAGCCGTAATCAAAGCTTTCCCGATGATATCAAACGCTTACCCACGTGCAATTATGATACCTGAGATTTCTGCGTCTTGTTTCCTCCTGCAGCCGCTGTAGTACCTGTCAATCTCTGACTTTTCATCTACTCTATGATTTATGTGTGGGTGTCTGCGCCGATACATGTTAATAACAGACCCCAGGGTGTGTGTTTTTGTGTGTTTGTGTGTGTGTGTGTGTTAAAAACAGGTTTACCCTTGTTGTTAACATGATTTAGGTGGTGTGGGAATAAGCGATTAGCGGTAATCAGGAGGAATTAACATAGAAGGTATGATGAGGTTTAGGTGACAGTTAAGGTCGGACATTAAAATAGGCGAGAAAGTTTGTGTGCAACATCTGACGATAAAAGAGAGAGATTACGAAGTTTAGGAATAAAGTCGTAGAGACAAACCGTTAAAGATAGAAACAGGGAAAACAGAAGCTAAAGTATGACATGGTGGACATTATCTCAGAGCTCTACTCTAAGAGTTTCATTTTATATATTTTTTTATTTTCCAGTTTCTTAATTTTTCTGCTATTTATTTTCACTTTTCTTTAAATAAGTCTGTGCACATTGGGAGGCGTGGTCAAACCATCGTTATCGTCTTTACCGCCCTGATCCCATAATCCTCGATTTATTCGTCAGCTGACCGTAGACTGACTTTGTTTTCCGTCAGTTACGTTTGTTTTCTAGTTCAACTATCTCAATTTCTACTGCGTCTTGAACGTCTCCTAAAAGGTCGTATCCTCCGATCGTAGCTGATCGTAACCATTCAAGTTAACGTGTCAATTTACACCGACTTCTTTCCGTTCCTCTGCGGATCGCCGGACTCCTCAGCTGATCACAAGAGTTCTATTTTTTCTGGACGCCGGAGCGTGGCGGATAAATTCAGCACAGATTAACCCGTGCTGGAAAGGAAGTCGGGCACAGACACAAAATAAAACATCCGGCTTCTTTTCAAAATAAAACACATCAGACGTCATTTCACCCCGATGACACCATGGATGAGGAGATGCTGATTCTAGAAGTCTAGAAGTAGATTTCCTCCTCTGGAAGGACACAATCTACTGCTTATATGTCTATGTGTCTGTCTTTAGAGAGACAACTCGTTATCGTGCGATTGAACATGAATCCGCAGGCTGTCCGTAATCTTAAAATTCACCTCACCAACAGATCCAGTCGGAATTTGCAAAAGACGAAAAATCGCCGCTGTTTCAGATCGGAGCCATTACACATGCGATGAAAATTGGGGGTAAAACTTCGACACTGAATCAAGGAATGAAAACAAAACTGAGATTTTTTTTTTAAAGAAAGTTGATAAAATAAAGTTGTTTTTATTAGATTTAAATCACTGAATTATTAGAGCAGGGCTGGGATTTTACCAAAAAAGTGAAGTTACAATAGATAAAATTATGAATTAAGCCGTTAATTTAATTGTATTTTTAAAAATGTGAAGTTCATTTTAGTAAATTTGTAGCTTGTAACTCCCGGTGCTGTGATTTGAGATGTTTTTTACTGAAGTGTGACGGTTATGTCTCCAACTTTGATTGACAAACAGACTTCAGGATTTGGTGTATCCCAAAAATCAACTTTATAACTCAGAAGAATGAGTTGTCTCTTGGCTCTGTGTACCCCGAACTTTCTCAGACATCCAGTTTGATCATGCGAACAGTGTAGCTTCATATTTTAAAGAGGCGGTACTCGTGGATTTTAAGGCGTAAGACTCCTTAAAGACGAAAACTTGAGCTCAGACAGAGGAGAGGTTTCTGAGGAGGATCCATGAACCTGCTCGATGGTATCTTGACTTCTTTCACTCTCACGTTGTCCTCGTCTCGTCAGATCCCCCGCCGGCTCAGCTCCGGCCCACAGTCCTCATGAACACACTCTCACACCGTCTGCTCACCGGCTGCTATCATCCGCTGGCATGAACACACACCAGCTCGAGCCCCCCGGGGGGGTTTGAGGGGCCGTGGGTGGGAGGGCAGGTCTGTACGCTGGGCTGTCTGTCTCAGACTCCATCCCGTCAATTCAAGGACTCCTCCATCAAGTGTCTGTCACTATCGCTCCCTGTCTGTCTCTGCAGATAGCTAACAGATGTCCGAGTCCGACCCGCTGAGTGACACGCCGAAGGTGGGTGGGATTATGTGGCGTGTAACAGGATTACAAGAGAAATGCTAGCTGCTGCTGTGAGGATCCTGCCGTTTGTAGCGTCGTGGTTCGGCTCTCCAGATTTTCCAGGATATATGTGACAACAAATCCAAATCATTAGCAGAGCAGCAGCTCTCTGCGGCGTGTGTTTTAAGCTCCATTAATACTCTAATGACTCTTTTTTTTAATGGAACAACTTTCCTAATTGTTTGGAGCAGCTTGTACATAAAACAAAGCAGCATACAAACATAATTAAAAAAGGCTGAAATAAGGAATAGAAGCTAAAATTAACTCTGACAAATGCTTATTAATTAATGAAATTGGTTCGACAATAAGAGAAACATGGACTGAGTTAAAGGCGGACATTTTTCTCTGATCCACACCAGGAATATTCAAGAAATCTGTCTGTGTTTACCACGACTATAGGACATGATTTCTGAATAGTCATATATGCAATTAACTGACATTTACATTTACATGACAGTGCGATCAGGGAAGACCCACACACACACACACACACACACACACACACTCCTCCTGCAGAGTAAACTTATCAAAACTTCATCCAATCAACACCATCATTCATCATTAATCATCAATTCTGCACCTTAGACCAGTCTGGAGTACAGATTATATAAACATTGAGCATCAACGTGAACAAGAATCTGTACCGTGCCGAAATCCGCCCCTTTAACCAGGACCAAGGACACGCTGGAAAACGTTCCCACTGGTCGAACTAAGTGGACTTTCAGGGTCTTTGGAGGTACCAGGGGACAGTACAGATCGCCTCATGTGAGCGCCCTACCTAGTTCAGGATCGGCTTAACCAAACCAACAAATCATAGTACCTCAGTCTCACCCGCGCTCACCTCGTTTGGTGTCACTCCATTGTTACTCCATTGACGTCATTTCACCCCGATGACACCATGGATGAGGAGATGCTGATTCTAGAAGTCTAGAAGTAGATTTCCTCCTCTGGAAGGACACAATCTACTGCTTATATGGTTAGCCTCTGTGGCTAAAGACAACTTGTTTTTACGCGATTGAATCTCGCAATTCCTGCTGTCTGTAATCTGCCACGAAATTCGCCTCACAAACAGATCTGGTAGGAACTGGTAATCCCCCAGGATGGAGCCTTGGGGAACTCCACATGTAATTTCTGTCTGTTCATGTATTTTTCCATCTTAACGCAAAGTACTCTCTGTCTTTTCAGTAAAATTTAGACCAGTTAAGTCAAGTGTCGTAAAGTCCCGCCTAGTTCTCAGGTGGTCATGTCGGATATTAATGTCAGCTGAGATCCAGAACCATAAAGACTGAAACTCCATCGCTGTCTGTGTTTGAGAAGAGGAAGCAGAGCTCCACACACCCACACTCACGCATCTCCAGTCCAGTTCTTAGTATTCTGAGCCAGAACTCAGAAAGACTTTACACCCTCAAGGTCTGACCCTGCGAGTCTGGATCCAAACTCCGGCCTGATCCTGGTCTTATTCAGTGCTTTGGGCAGAGATATTCAGGGTTTCTGTCCTGCACCCTGAGAGGTTTATTAGTACGCCGAGCTGCACAGCCGTTTGTATTAGAATTCCCTTCTACCTGCTGAGAGCGAGAGAGCCGAGTCCATTCAACATTTCATTCAGCCGGGCCCGGTCAGAACCAACGGCCTGGATCAAGTCTCAGGATTAATACGGCGTGACCGGGCTACACTGAGCCATAAATTACACTTGTTGTTGACGATCATTGGCTGCTTTCGATGATGCTCTCTGAAGGTTGGTTTTGTGGTGGAGAGGTGATTATGTGACCTGAAACCACAAAGTGTCCATCAACAACCCCCCGGAGGGTCTGAGTCCACCTCCTCACAGCAGACTCTGAAGGCCTGAGTCTGGATGTGGATGGAGGGTGAGGAGGGGGGGTGCGCTACGCATCGACGGCGTCCACGTGCTTCAAATTAAGCTGGTTAATCTATTAAAATGCCGAGCGTCAGCTCTATTGATATGCTGATCTATGAGTGAAATCTGAATGGAAGTTTTCATTAGTTTTCATTAGCTCGTGGAATTAAAATCCCATCTCATAAATTATACAAAAAAAAGGCTCTGAGATTTAATTGATTTCCCTGGTGGGGTGAAGATCCATTCAACACATAATTAAAGGTTGCATGAGGATTATCAACATTATAATAATAATAATAATAATAATAATAAAAATTCAGGATTGAGAGAAAAGTGTCCGCTCACAATAGATAAGAACGACGTAACATTTAGTTTAACTTACTGTCTGGGGAATATAATGATGGATAATGCAGGAGGCGACGCTTCATTGAAACAAATGGGACTCTTTATAACTGGCAGTGATTTTACATAATGAACCATTTGTGGAGAGCAGACTGGAGCCGTCACGTGTTTCTTATTATTCTTTATACTTCACAGGATCGGTAAAAGCTCTTCCATTTACCCCCCCTCCTCCCTCCTCCCTCTGAGAATACCAAATAGAAAAAATGAAATTCTTCAGCTCTCTGTCATTTCACACCATCGTCTTCTTCACTCCTGCTGCTGAATACGACGTTATTATCGCGGCTAAATGACACATCTGCTCCTCGTGGTTTTTGAAGGCAGGGTCAGTCTGTTCCTCACACCTCCACTTTCTACTGTCAGAGGATTTAATTCACGTCTTTTTACAGTATGAAGTTCCTCTGAGAGAGGATGGACTCATTCACACCACAGGAACCATTGTGGGGCTCTGAAATTACACACAAATGTCCAAAATGATGCTTTTAACAGGATTTAATAGTCAAACTTGATCATGAAAATAATAATAAAGGGAGTTTTAAAGTCAGGGAGCAAAGCGACTCGGAGTTACGTGATTGGCTGGTTGGGGTTCTGGAAACGATGTGGACTGTTGGGTTTTAGGAAGTGATGACAGAACCAGGGTTTGATTTCCTCCAGGCATTCACAGAGGAAGAAGAGTTTGGGTTTGGTAGAAGGGAAGATCTGGGTGTGAATTTAGTGATTCACGTGCAATCGCGCAATAACAAGTTGTCTTTAGCCACATGCACTACAGGCCAAAAGTTTGGAAGCAAGATCAGATTCGTACAAAAAAAGATCATAGTTTCATTAATATAATCTGCAACACAATAAACATGACTATTGTGAAAAGAGTAACTTATCAGAAGACATTTTGACTATAATTATGAGGTATTCGAGTTATTGTTGCTTAGACTTTCTTTAAAGTAACCTCCTCTGGCTTTAACAACAGGTTGACATATACCAGGCATTCGTTCCACAAGTTTTCTAAGGTATGTTCCAGGGATTGCATTCCAAGCTTCATTCCTAATTCATCCCGCACAAGCTCAATTGGAGAAAGGTCTGGAGACTGAGGGGGCCAAACCATCTTTTGAAGAACACCTTCCTCTTCTTCTTTGTCTTGGTAACCCTGACAGAGCTCGGCAGAGTGCTTAGGGTCACTGTCTTGCTGCAAAACAAACTTAAGAGCCACAAGTCTGAGTCCAGATGGAACAGCATGGTGCTGGAGGATGGAGTGGTACTGTTCCTTCTTCATGATACCCTTTGCTTCAAACAAATCTCCTACTCCATCACCTGCCAAACATCCCCATACCATGGAACTAACACCTCCTTACTTAATTGTGGGTGTAACACATGGAGCTTTCAGACGTTCATCAGTTTGTCTGCGGACATAGACTCTGCGTTTCGAACCAAATAGTTCAAACTTGTTTCTAGTCATCATAAGTCCAATTTTTGAGAGCTTTTGCCTTTTCGTAGCCGTTCAGGATGTGGTGGAAATTGGGGGTAAACCTGGCTATGTTGGGGATTTTTGGGCGTTTGGAGACAGCCTCAAGTGGACATTTATGGTACTGCAGTTTTTGCATCCAACACAAATACATCTCGAACAGTCTGGACTCTTAATCTCACTTCCACTTGTTTTAGCGTCGGTAAAACTCTGTTGTCAGTCCGTCTATTGAGCCAAACTAGTATGAAGAAGTTAAAACTCCAGATTTTTAACGTTGATATTGATACTCAACCCAAAAACTTGAGTAAACGCCTCATTTAGGTCGATTAAATAAGCTGCAGCCTGTCAGCCAATGTGCAAAAAAAAAAGAAAAAACCCAAAGTGTTCAGTGAAAGCTGCGCTCAGCTCCATATTTAGCTTCATCTCCTCCCTGTCACTCTCATCTCCTACCACATCACGGCTCAGCTGTCAGTCTGCTGTCAGGAAACATTGTTTTAGGAGGTTTTTGTACGACATGATAAAATGGTCTGCAGCCTGCAGACAGAAAGTGGGCCTGAAATAAAAACGTAATCAAAAGGACGAGATTTTTAAAGCCAACCTGAAGCAGAAATGCTAAATTTACAAGAGCAGGAACACAAATGTGGAAATGTGTTTACGATACGAGGAGCAGGGACTTTGAAGCTTCTTGTTTCACTGTAATCTGCACCTTCAGATTTTCATGTCGAGTTCACACATTAACAGTATAGAAACACCTCATTTGGCGCCACATTAACAATCGTATCAACATAAATAAAAGCAGATGTGTGGGTCACTCTCAGCACATTCGTCTTGACGGCGGTATCTCAATAGAAATGAGAGTATTTTTGTAATACCTGTGACATTTGCTTGGCATTTGAATCCACCTTCACATGGTTGTCATGCCGTCCGCTCTGGAATCACATTTGCCATTTATATTGGTTTTGAATCGGAGGATCAGAAATGTTTCCTAAAACACCCTCAAGTTGAATTCCCATTGACATTTGCGTCTGCTGATTGCTATTTCAGATAGGCCTGACACCTCGCGTGTTATTTCGATGTCGTCCGGATTGCGGATTTCCTTTCAACTTCCACTAAGATTACTGTTGAAATTTTCCCTTCGCCTTTAATAGACGGAGGAGGAGGAGGGAGAAATGAGCCTCGGTGAAGCTGCTGGCAGACTGACATGTCCATTAAATGTAATGTTGTGACAGTGGGGAGTTGGCTGCAAATGAGAGCCCACGTGCAGGACGTGGTAGTACATCATGTCTGTGTGCGTTTCTGCAGAGATGTTTCTTGTTTTCGGCTTCCTCTCTCTCGCCGCTGCACATCATTTTTCTGTTTGTATGTTCACGTCAAAACAAATCATGGCGAACACGTTTGAGCTTATTTTATGTTGACACGTCCATCACTGCCGCGCAAATGGAAGCGTCTCCTCTCTAATGATGGATCGCAAACCGCCTCTCTTGTTTAGAAAATTACAGTCTTATTCAATCAGACTTTCATTACTGGAATTGTAGATATTTCACATTAGAGACACTTTACATTTCTGATTTGGTTTGTCAGTTTGAGTGTTAGACCTACAATTTCAACTACGTCTGTTTGAGCGTCCTTTTAAAGGGATATTTCAGTCGGTGCGTTCACATGCACAGCTTTGGAGGAATCTTTGGAGTTCAGGAAAAGCAGAACATGTTTTTATTACAAATGTAGAAACCTAAAAAATGGGATCCACTGCTGTGTTGCCCCTAGCAACGGTCTGTTCTTCATAGCAACAGTCTGTTATAAGGAAATAGCAGACCCATGGATCAAAATGCTGCTGATGTCATCACTCACTGCGTTTTCATGCACAGTTTAATCGGACTAAGCTCATAATTCGTTTTTTTCTCTGAATCAGACTTCTGTCCTTGTCCTCGTTTCGCGACCGTCCATATACGTTTAAATGTCCATTTCTGTCAGGACAGGAAGCATAACGGCGCTCTCCTCCTTGTCGTTCCAAAAGTGGACATTCTTTTGTGTTTCAGCCATGTTACAGTTTCTTCTGAGTCGAAAGTTCTTTAGATGATAGCGCCGCTTCTTCTCTTGTGTTTTTGTTCTAGGGTTACAGGGTCGTGGCGCATGCACACATGCATTGTCCGATCATACTCCGACTACGCTGGTTACATGGTAGAGAAAATCGAATTCCGATCACATTATCTGGGTGTCTTAATCTGAGTTCTCAAACTCCGATTATAGTCTGACTATGGTGTTTACATGACCTTCAGTTGTCCGGTCTTAATCGGAATAAGGCGATAATT